AGTATCTCTTCATCAGATTCTCTAGGACGAAACGGATCCTTTTGGGGATCTAGAGACCTTACAACCATAGGGGTGTTCAATGGATGAGCCTTGTCCATGTTGAAGCGTTTAAGTAATCTTTCAATGTATGTTGATTGATGGACGATTATTCCATTTGCTTTATGCTCAAGCTCTAGACCAAGACAAAGTTTGGTTTTACCCAAATCTTTAACTTCAAATTCCCTTTTCAAATACTCAGCAGTTTTAGCTAATTCTTCTGTAGTTCCAATTAAATTTATATCGTCGACATAAACTGCTACAATAGCAAATCCGGTTTCTGATTTCTTAATAAACACACATGGGCAGATAGGATCATTTTTGTACCTTTCCTTAATTAGGTACTCACTTAGGCGTTGATACCACATGCGACCGGATTGCTTTAACCCGTACAAAGATCTTTGCAATTTTATTGAGAATAAGTTGCGGGGAGTGCATGCAGCAGGCATTTTGAATCCCTCGAGAATTTTCATATAAATATCCGAGTCTAATGAGCCATAGAGATATGCCGTCACAACGTTGATAAGACGCATTTCCAATCTTTGAGATAGTACCGGGCTCATGAGAAAATGAAATGTAATCATATCCATCACAGGTGAATATGTCTCATCATAATCAATCCCAGGTCTCTGGGAGAATCCTTGGGCAACTAGTCGGGCTTTATACCTGACAACCTCGTTTTTCTCATTTCATTTCCGAACAAATACCCATTTATATCCAACGGGCTTTACATTATCGGGGATGCGAGTTATGGGTCCAAAAACCTCTTGTTTGGCTAGGGAAGCTAATTCAGCCTTAATTGCTTCCTCCCATTTAGACCAATCTTGCCTTTGACGGCATTCAATAATAGATTGCGGCTCACAATCATCATCCATAATTTTATGAGCAACTGAGAATGCAAAAGCATTATCAATTATGATTTCATTCCGATCCCAAATCTCATTACAATATGTAATGGGATTCTCAGTATTCCCACGGTTGGTGATCTTTTCATGGGTTTGTGCCTCTTCAGGGGCAATAAGCTCTTTGGGAGCAAGCATAATACCAGGCTCTTCTGGAGCGGAATCCTGATTCTTTCCCCTTCGTTTTCGAGGAACAGTGTCTTTTGATCATATCGGTCTACCGCGTTTCAAGTGTAGCGGATTTTGATCCATTTTAGCTTGTCCTTTGAAAAAAAAAAAAAAAAGCTTGTCCTTTGGGAACAACTATCCTAGATGGAGCATTTACAGCTGGAATATGAGACTTCGTTTCCTTAGTAGCATCATTAAATGCGTCAGGAAGTCTATTGGCCATAGCCTGTAAATGGATTATGCGCTGCACTTCGTTTTCACACTCAGGAGTTCTTGGGTCTAATTGAGATAAATTTTTCTCATTCCAGGAGAAAACCTTAACTGATTTTTGCTTCGCAGCCATGTTAGTTTTAGGTGTCCCAATTGATGGAAGCATAGTCTCATTGAAATGACAATCTGCGAATCTGGCAGTAAAAAGATCACCAGTAGTTGGTTCCAAGAACTTAATGATAGACGGTGAATTAAACCCAACATAAATGCCCAAACGGCGTTGGGGACCCATTTCGTTCTTTTTAGCGGTGCTACATGCACCTGTATTGCACAACCAAATGTGCGTAAATGTGAAATATCAGGTTCATAATCAAGAACCATTTAAAGGGGAGATTGTAAGAGACTAGCAGCGGGGCGCAATCTTATTAGGGTTGCCGCATGCAAAATTGTATGACTTCATGCTGTATCGTTGAGATCGTTCTTAATAATAGAGTGTGCGCAATGATTTGGATATGTTTAATCAAGGATTTTGCCAATCCATTTTGAGTATGAACATATGCGACCGGGTGCTCGACCTCAATTCCGAGTGAAGCACAATACATATCAAAACTCTTTGATGTAAATTCACCAGCATTATCCATCCTTATGCTTTTAATTGGATAACGAGGGAATTGTGCCCGGAGCTTTATAATCTGCGCAAGTAAACGTGCAAAGGTGACATTGCGCGTAGATAATAGACAAACATGGGACCATCTACAGGATGCGTCCACTAGTACCATAAAATATCGAAACGGTCCACTTGGTGGTTGTATTGGTCCACAAATATCACCCTGAATTCTTTGCAGGAATAAAGGGGATTCAAGATTAACCTTTGTTATAGAAGGTTTAGTAATGAGTTTTCCTTGTGAACAAGCTTCACAATTATAATCTTTGGACAACAATACCTTTGTATCCTTTAAAGGGTGCCTTTTTGTATTATGAATTATTCTACGCATCATTGAAGCGCCAGGGTGACCAAGGCGATCATGCCATAATCCAAACTGATCAGGGTTTACCAATCTCCAGGATATGGTGGAATATGTTTCAACGGCCTTAATCACGACACAATATAAACCCATAGAAGAAGCTTCTAGCTTCTCATGGATGGTCTTCAGGCCCATCTTATAAGAGGTAATGCCAATATATTCTTTATTTTGCTCATAAATAGTCTCAATATGATATCCATTACGGCGTACATCTTTGAAGCTAAGCAGATTCCTTTTTGATCTACTGCTAAGAAACGCATCCTCAATATGCAGGATGGTGCCTTTTGGCAAAATAATTATGACATTCCCGAAACCATCAATAATCGGAATAGGACCTGATATTGTATGGACATGTGTCTTACGCAATGTCATACTTGAGAAAAAGTGTCTATTACGAAATATGGTATGTGTTGATGCACTATCAAGCAAACAAACATCTTCCTTTTTCTCGGTATTTTCCATTTGCATTTATGTTGACAACTTCAGGTGTTAAGTATCATAAAATTGTCATATTAGTTAGAGGGTCAAATAAAATTTCAAAATAATAAATATTATATCAGGTTCATAAGCATTTCATTGCATAACCATATTAAAGAACAATAAAAGGTAATACATTTAAAGAAAAGCAACTAGAAAAGAAATTATTATAATCATAAAATTCGAAGTCTAAGTTGTCATCCACCAGTCTGATGCTTCATCAAAGTAATCAGAGGTCCTCAAAGAAATCAGAGACATCCAGAGATGCATTTGCTACTTCAAGAGCAAGAGGAGTCCCACCAACAGAGATATTATTGGCCTCAACAGTGGTTATGGCAGTAGGATTAATTTCAATGGCGTGAGATTCACCACCCTTGCCCCTATTTTTTAAAGATGCATGGTATAGATCAACAAAGTACTTTGGCGTACGACAAGTACGTGACCAGTGCCTAGTCATGCCACAGCGATGGCAAATACTTTCATTAGTCACCTTCTTTTGCTTCTTTTCTTTGTCATGATTCGGGCCAAAGTTAGATTTCCTAGGGCGGTTAAATTTCTTGCCACCCCTTTGAGGATTATGTTCTTGTCTGCGCTTATAGCCCTTAAAATGGCCAGTATTTTTCTCAGAGTTAACATGTGCTTCAGGCAATGCTTTTGACCCAGCGGGTCTAAGATCATGATTTTTGAGCAGCAATTTATTAGTTTGCTTAGCAGTGAGGAGCACAGAAATTAATTCAGAGTATGTGGCAAATTGATGTTGTCGGTATTGCTGTTGCAATACAATATTCGAAACATGGAAGGTGGAGAAAGTTTTCTCTAACAGTTCCGCATCAGTGAGCTTGATACCGCATAACTCAAGCCGAGAAACAATATCAAATAAAGCGGAGTTATAGTCAGACACTGATTTAAAATCTTGCAGTCTGAGATTTTGCTAGTCATATTGTGCTTGAGGGAGGATAATAGTCTTGGTATGATCATACCTATCCTTCAACCTCTTCCACAGGGTCTGAGGGTCTCGAACGGATAAATATTGAGTCTGCAGGCTCTCATGCAAATGGCGACGAATAAAAATCAGTGCATTTACTTTATCTTTTGCATTTGAGGTTCCGTCTTCTGTAATTGCATTAGCGAGACCTTGCCCTTGGAGGTGCATTTCCATGTCAAGGCACCAGGATAGATAATTATTTCCACTCACTTCCAGGATGTGGAATTTGGGTTTTTCAATATTTGCCATAATTCTTGCAAAACAAATGAATCCTTAAATTAATTAGAAGGATTTCCAAATATCCACGGCCACTTCAGGAGCAGAAGGATACTTTTAGATTGGAAATTGGCTTCATGCCAAGAAAAAGAAAAATGAAGAATTGATAGGAGAAGATGAAGTATAAGTTGATTAATGAAAACAAAGAGAACACTTACCTTGCAAAAATTATCTACTCAGTTGGTAGATCTTCGTGCTGATAACGTGTTGTAAAATATTGCGTTGCAAGTATATAATAGAGAGAATAGATATTAAGTAGAGAATGCAGATAAACATCAAAGATATATATATTTTCTCTTTTCATTATGTTCTCTTTTCTTACACAATGACCAAAATTAAACTCCTATTTATAAGAAAACAAGAATGCACATATCATTAATGTCAATGTATTGAATACACACATTGAATAGGGAGATGAACATTCATTGGAGATTGTACGTAGAATGTAGGTTACAAATGTACCATAATAGGTACGTTGAATATACGTTCATGTATGTAGGTTACAAATGTACCATAATAGGTACATTGAATATAATGAATATTCATTCATGTATTTCATAACATTTAGAATATTTTTGGACAATTTTCTCCATTTTTTTCTCTTCCTCCAATTTCTGACTTAAGCATCGGAAGGGTCAATCCGAGCACAAAATCTGGACGTCTTAACCCATTGTCTATGGTGCTGATTAGTTCTCAGGTCAGAGCTCCCGCCAGCTTCGTGGATCCAAGTCCAGCTTCAACTGTATAAAGATTAGTACTCCGATCAAAGCTCCGACCCAAATCGAGCTTCGACTGTTTGAAGATTATTTCTCCGATCGGAGCGCTCCGGCTAGCTTCATGGATACCAAATCGAGCCACAACGATTCAAATTAATGTAGAACTTTCTGCGTTTGCACAAGGGGAGCATGTCCTTCAAAAATTGCACATTCATCTCTGGGTGTTTTTTATGAATGAAAAAACCCAATAAAGAAACAAAGGAGATGCTGGATTCATGCGAGCACACATCCTCAACCAAAAGCCCTGAATAATGGAGGGGGAATTGTTGGGTCGTGAAGAGTAGTCATGTCCCACGACGACTCCCTCGTTGACCGTTTCCTTTCCCTTCGCGAGAAGTCAAACCGAAAAAAGCACATATCCTTAACGGTAAAATAACCACCACCCCACCTTGTTTCTCTCCCTTCCGTTGCCTCCCTCGATCTCCATCAAGCACAACCAAAACGCTCCAATTCACACTCTCTGGAAAAAAACACGCACGCATGCACGAAAAGGAAAAGAAGAAGAAGAAGAACAGCATGTCCCTCAATTCAATTCAATAACCCCATCCCATCCCTGCGAAATGGACGGGAATGGAACCAAGCGAACCTTGACGATGAATTGGGACGCCTTGGGCGATGAGGACGAGGACGATCGCTTCTTCGAGTCCCGCGACTGGATGTCCTGCGCCATCGCGCTGGACCTGGCATCCTCGAACTCCGACGACGACGATGACGACGACTTCGAAGACAGCCGTATCTCCTTCGCCTCTGCTGTGTCCAGCGCATCCGCAGGAGAACTTCGGAGCGTGTCGGGCATCAGGGTTTCGACCTCCGTGTCGCAGGACTACGAGATCTGGATCTCGCAGCCTGGCTCAATCAGCGAGAGGCGTAAGCGGCTGTTCCAGGGGATGGGGCTCTCCAACAAGGACCTTCTCCGACTTGCAAGTGCCGAGTTCAAGCCGGTTGCCTCCAAGAAGGTAGGAAGCCAAAAAATCTCGTCTTTGATTGTCAATAATGATCATCCGAGCGACGAGCAACAAAAGGAAGACGCGTCTTGTATTCGTTTAGCTCCTGTCATTCTTGTCCGATCAAGATCGGACGGTGACATAGATTTCCCCCCGATTGCCAAGAGAAAGGAAGAGTTTTTTGGTGCAACATCCAAACAGCGCCTTACGAGGACCTCGTCCACGTTGTGCGGGCCATGTGCACCGGGTTGCCGGTATCCTGATTCCATCAGAGTATCACCGCAAGGTGGGAATTCATCATCCTTCGGCCAGCGGAGGCGCTTGTCAACCATGATCTCAAACAGTCGGTTAGGCGCCTTCTTTCTGATAAAGAATTTGGATACCGGGAAGGAGTTCATCGTGAACGAGTACGATGAAGAGGGGATGTGGAATCGGCTCAGTGATCTGCAGACTGGGAAGCAGCTAACCATGGAAGAGTTCGAGAAAAGCGTCGGCTATTCCCCTGTTGTGAAAGAGCTCATGCGGAGGGAAAATGTATCGCAGATCACCGATGGTAGCATCATCATGGCAGAGAGGAAGTTCAATCCAAATTCGTACCTCTCAAAAAGCTTGAGGCTGAGCAAGAAGAGCGGAGTCGCCTTGCTGAAGAACATAAAGGGGGTCGCGAACTCAATGAGCGGATTGATCGGGGACAAGGAGAGGGAGAACCAGCCGGTCCAAGAGCCGAAGCCGAGCAAGAGCTTGTCGGAGTGGGTGAAAGTGAAGCAGCACGGGAAGTCGTACAAGGAGCTAAGCGCGTTGCACTTCTGTCAGGAGATACAGGCTCACGAGGGCTCAATTTGGACCATGAGGTTCAACTCGGATGGGCATTACCTCGCAAGTGCTGGAGAGGACAAGACGATTCATGTGTGGGAGGTACAGGATTGCGACATGATGCCTCCGAGGAATCCAGACGAGTGGTATTGGAGCCCTTTACATGCTTCGGCGAGTAGTACACCAGACCGACAGTTCCATGCTGAGCCCTCACCTCAGCCGGTGGAAAAGAGGAAGGGGAAGGGTTCGCTGAGTAGCAAGAAGGCAAATCCAATCCCCGACTATGTTCACGTGCCTGAAACGGTTTTCTCGCTCTCGGAGAGACCCGTGTGCTCTTTTACAGGTCACTTGGATGATGTCCTGGATCTATCCTGGTCAAAATCAGAGGTTAGCTTCTTGGAACTATATGCAAACAGGATGTCTCAGTGTCTCAACCTTGACAAAACTGCAGCTATGGAGTGGTCTTAGTTTTTCTTTTTTAATCCTCAAGTTTTATTTTTATAAACCTGCAGCTACTCCTTTCGTCTTCAATGGACAAAACTGTGAGGCTGTGGGATATGGAAACGAAGAGCTGTTTGAAGCTGTTCGCGCACAATGATTATGGTAACGTCAACCTGAGTCTCTTCTTTTGAGTACAAATATCGTCTTAAGATTTCTGTTTCTCAACTGGAAAAATATGCTTCCACATTGTGAGCAGTGACTTGCATACAGTTCAATCCGATGGATGACACGTTTTTCATAAGTGGTTCGCTGGATGCAAAAATCCGGATATGGAGCATATCAGACCACCATGTTGTTGACTGGACCGATCTTCATGAGATGGTCACCGCGGTTTGCTACACCCCAGATGGCGAGGTAGTAAGTGGGTCTTATAATCTATTGTTGACAGTCATGATAGTTTCTCAGAAGCAATGCTTTTCTATTGCAGAACATAGTACTACATTTTGGTTATATCGATTCATGCATTGCTTGAGAACCTTAGCGATCGTTTGTCAATTGTTTCAGCTGAATCGGCTCAAATGAGATTGTTTTGGCATAGTAATCTGCATTAAGGAACACTTTCATTGGGTTTATTACGATGAGTTTGCTCTAATTGCTCTTCCTAATTGTATGGGATTATACAACTGAAGGGCGCCATTGTAGGATCGCACAAAGGAAGTTGCCGGATGTACAGCACAAAGGGTATGAGATTCTCTACTAGCATTTTTCTACTCAAGTTTATCAGCAACGGCATAGAAACAACGACACAAGTTGGAAACAATTTGTGTCTTTAAATGGCCCTCCTGCATCAAGTTGCAGTATAATCATTTAGTGGGCTATTGAGGTTACATCAGAAAGGAGGTTTATCGTCTCTCTTTCACTTGTTTGAACAGATTGTAAACTGAACCAAATCAGTCAGCTTGAGATTCAGAGCAAGAAAAAGTCCCAAGCCAAAAAGATAACAGGTTTCCAGGTAAATTCTATTCAGGTTTCTGTCCATTTTTTTGGCTAATTTTCAGTCAACACCTGTTCTAGTCCTAGGGGAAAAACGTGCTAAGAAGCCAAAGAAAAATAACTCTCTGCTTTGAATTTCCAATCAGTTCTCACCTTGCAATTCGTCTGAAGTTCTTGTTACCTCGGCCGATTCCCGTGTTCGCGTTGTTGAGGGCTCAGACATCACGCACAAGCTCAGAGGTAGATCAGCTATGCAATGAGAATGTAGATACAATTCTCCTCAAGTGCCTCCATCACCAAGTAATTGTTTCGTTGCTTTTCGCAACAGGTTTCCGAAATACTAGCAGCCAAATTGCGGCTTCATTTACCCAAGATGGGAAGTATGTCATATCGGCGAGTGAAGATTCTCACGTCTATGTGTGGAAGAGAGAGACGCCACGGAATTCCAACGTGGCCAAGGCCAAAGCTCTGGTTACTAGCAAGTCATATGAACACTTCCCTTGCCGAGATGTCTCAGTGGCGATTCCTTGGCCCGGTACCATAAGAGGTGACCCACCGGCCATGCCGATCCATTCCAAGAGGCACTCCAAGCGCTCGACCTCGACACAGCCACCGGCTTCCAATGGCTCGCCGACTCAAGAGGATCATAGCCTTTTGCAAGGGAACAGCAAGAGACTGATGTTGCCACCTCTACCCAAGAAGGCAATCCCCACGGAGCGAGCCTCGATTCCTCCTGAAGTGGATCTCGCCCTGCTTTCTCGCCTGGACTCGGGGTTCGGGAGCGGGATTGGGGAGTCTTTCAATTCCGATGCCAGCTCGGCCAGGTATGACGAATCACCATTGATCTCGGTGGCTGTGAACTCATCGTCAGCTTCGTGGTCTTCATCTTGGTCTTGGTTCGACAGCAGCAACAGCAATGGGGCTAATGCTATGCAAGCGACGGCTTGGGGGATGGTGATCGTCACTGCAGGTTTAAGGGGCGAGATAAGAGCTTATCAGAATTTTGGTTTGCCGCGTAGAGTTGGTCGTCAAGCGAATCTTTTCTGAGGCCTTACATGCTTTACCTTTCCTAATCACAAGGTGTATTAGCATTAGTCCTAAGCTCAAACATGAAGATACTCATCTGATATGGGACATAGATTTTTACTGAGGTAATGATCGACGCCAGAGAAAACTTTTAGTCCACGACAGTCGAAGCTAGAGACATCAAAGCTATGCAGAACCTTGTTTTTGCAGATTTGGGCTCAATTACTCGTGTTATCATACATAACTATATTTCAGCTTAGTGCAAAGAACAGCAGAACATCTAGAACAAAGGAGCGGCATCGGATGGATTAAATGATGGAATTGCACGAAAGAAAGCTGTGGAAACATTTTCTGTTGAACTCTTGGCTGATTTTGAGTTTCAATTTCTGGTTTCTCTATAGAACATCTGTATTTGTCCTTACCGAAACGGCACAAACCCAGAGCTTGGCTCGATTTTGTTCAGTTCTCATAATCAATTACCAGATGTGTAAAATATGTTTCTGTTTAAGCACAATCATGGAAGTGCATAATGAAGGTTTTGCTGTTTTCCTTTTTACGAAGCATGAGCTCTGTTAACTTGCAAGGTAACTTACAAGTGAAAACTTCCAAGTAGTTACTCATTGTTTAAGATATTCACATATGCACATGATGGTTCATTTCCTAGATGTTTCTGTTGTTATCTCTTTCCCATGTCGAATCATTCACACCTGATGCTGATTGTTATAGCTCTTAGCACAGTTGAGAGAGTGTTGTCACGTCCCATTTACCCTTCTCTGTTCTCTTTGCTTTAATTTGTGCAACCTGAATAGCAGTTTCCATGGATTTTCACTAGATCCCTTTAGGAGGATTGAGGGACTTCTTTTGCGATTTCTCTCGAGGTAAAATAATCGTTTGCCTCGGAAATTCAATACATCTCGTATCTATTTGACATAGCTATGACTGCGCTGTAGCTATATCGCATTGTAGCTATGCTACGAAGTAATGTTACATTTGTGTCGGCAATCCGAAATACCTCAAAACTGAGTGGGGCAGTTTCCTAAAATCTGCGGTAAAAATTAAAGCTGCAGCGCTTCTTTTTCACAGTTGTAGTTGTTGTAAGAAATCTGCACCAAATAGACTTTTCTGTAAACTCCTTTGCTTCCGTCAGAAATTAAACAGGAGAAGCTCCATTTTTTCAAGCTTGGAAGGGTCATTATTTGAATCAAATAGAGGTCTACAACGTTATGGTGAAGGCAGTGGGCTGTTTGTTTTTCTCAAGCGGATTCTCCGGCCTAGCCCAACATCATTACTCTATTTGAACAAACCAGAGAATCTACTGAATAAGTGTCCCCTGATATAAAATAAGGTTAATATCACAAAAAATCTCGAATTGGCACTCATATATCACATTTACCAAATTATTTTTTATGTGTCAAAAAATCCCAAATCGGTATACTCGTGTCATATTTACCTCCAAACTAATTTTCGTGTAAAAAAGAATTACAAACTGATACATCTGTGACAATTAACATATATCTTCGGGCAAAATTAGGGATTTGAACATATTTTCGAAAAATAAAGGAGCTGTCGGAGCAATAACAACATATTTTAATAGATTTTCCAATCTCAGTTCTTTTTCTTCAAATCTAACTACTTTCAAATGACGTCGTTTAGGAGAGTCATTTATTCTGAATTTCCACGTCAAAACCATGTCACGTGACGATTTTCAGAGTTATTTGCCATGTGTGTTTTCGTGTTGGCAATTTTAATGGAAATGAGTATAATTGTCACGGGCGTACCTATTTGAGATTTTTTACGACACAAAATTAATTAGAGTAAACGTAGCACGGATGTACCAATTTCAGATTTTTGCTAGTATTATCCCTATGAAATAAGGATGGTATATTTAAAATTTATTTATTTTTTACTTTCTGCTAGTACCCCACTTTATTTGAGCATTATCCATCGATAGTTGGTGTTAGGGGCCCTCACCCGTCACTGGCTATGGTCATGCCATACTCGCCGGTGGCCTCATATGATTGTTTTTTTTTTTTTGATAACCCAGGAACTCCCCGCACGGCCGACAGCCGGAGGGGTAAACCTGGGGTGACGCTAGCACATGACCCACCACCAAGGTGCCACACTTAATGAAAGAAAGCAAGATCGAAGATAGGAAGAAAAGGGTTTGGGAGAAATTCAATGTGTATTTTTCTATATTGTTCGATACTCAATGTACATACTTATAATACAATGAGAAAAAGAATAATGGAAACAATATATTTTACAAATCAAATCCAATCTCATTGATCCTTGCGTAGCAATCGCAATCTAAATAATATCGAAGATATCGCATATCTTCCAACACTCCCCCTCAAGCTGGTGGCTTGTAGATGTCCAAGACACCTAGCTTGCTCAGTAGATATGCGTGCTGTTTCTGACAAAGGGGTTTAGTGAAAACATCCGCGGGTTGTTCTGCAGTCCCAATCCCTCTTGTTTCAATTATCCCTTCCTGAATTTTCTCCCGTGTGAAGTGACAATCTACTTCTATGTGTTTCGTCCTCTCATGCACCATAGGATTAGCCGCAAGTTTGAGAGCGGCATCATTATCACAAAACAGTCTGGTTGGACCCTTAATTTGTAGTCCAAGATCTCGCAGTAAGCCTCGTAGCCATACTATCTCGCAAGTGGTTTTCGCCATTGCTCGATATTCTGCTTCTGCTGAAGATAGTGAAACAGTCGGCTGTTTTTTTTGTCTTCCATGAGAGCAAGGAGTCTCCTAGCTTAATGCAAAAACCTGTGACAGATCTTCTGCTCATTGGACAAGTTGCATAATCTGCATCGCAATAAGCCGTCATTTCCATGTTGCACTTTCTAAAAAGAAATATCCCAAGTCTTGGGCATTTTTTCAAATATTTCACAATCTTCAGTGCAGCATTCATGTGAGACTATTTTGGTTTGTGCATAAACTGGCTGAGCGTCTGCACCGCATAACATATGTCCGGCCTGGTCATAGTCAAGTATATGAGTTTCCCAACAAGTTTCTGATACCCTGCTGGATCTTTGAGCATGGGGTCATCTTCTTGGGAAGATCCCTCATCATATTCTGCTGTGGTCAGCTTCGTATTTTGTTCGATTGGAACAACAGCTGGCTTGCATCCTGACAGACCTGCTTCTAATATAATTTCCAACACAAATTTCCGTTGACTGAGGGAAATTCCTTGGTCGGATCGGGCAATTTGAATTCCCAGAAAATACTTGGGTGATCCAAGGTCTTTTATATGAAAAGTGGAATGCAGATACTCTTTGAGGCTCTTTATGGCATTGTCGTCATTTCCCATAATGAGTATATCGTCAACATATATCATTAAATAGATAGATGACATACCTCTTGTCCATGTAAAAAGAGTATAGTCAAAACGAGATTGTTTGAATCCTGCAGCTATGAGTGCATTCGCAAATTTTGCATACCATTGCCGGGAAGCTTGTTTAAGACCATATAGGGATTTACGGAGACGACATACTTTATTCTCCCCCTGTCTCTGAAAACCCTGTGGAATTTCCATATAAATCTCCTCATCCAAATCACCATGAAGGAAAGCATTATGGACATCCATTTGGTGTAATGCCCAATTTTGGAAGGCTGCAACCGATAGGAAAGATTGGACGGTGACATCTTTGGCTACTGGGGAGAATGTCTCGTGATAATCAAAACCTTCTCGCTGTGTAAAATCTTTAGCCACCAATCGAGCTTTGTAACGTTTGATGGATCCGTCTACCCTATACTTTATTTTGTACACCCATTTGCACCCAATCGGCTTCCGATGAGGAGGCAGTGGCACATGCTCCCATGTGTTATTGTCAATTAAGGCTTGCAATTCTGTTGTCATGGCCTTTTGCCATCGTGGATCAGTGGAAGCCTCATCATAGCTAGACGGTTCCCGATTTTCAGATATTCGGCTAATACAACGTTTATGTTCCGACGAGAGTTTATTGAACGAAACATAGGATGAGATGGGATATTGAATACCTGGCAAATTTTGTGCAGCACAGACATAGTCTTTAGTCCACGTGGGTGGATGTGTGACGCGCCCGGAACGTCGTGGAGGATCTCTTGGTGGTGATGGCGAAGTTTCCTCCATAACAATTGATGATTCTCTGTCAAAAGGTTCTGGTGCGGGTGTTGGAATATCTTCAATTGACGCATCGTCTTCCACTGGTTCCAAAGCTGTTGATGGAGAAATATCTTCGGTAGAAATTGGCTTAGGTGTTTCAAAGCCTTTGATAGTCGGAACATATAGGGGATCCTTCAATCCTTCCTGTTCAGTGGGAAGGATATGAGAATGGTTGTCTGCCCCTACATCTTCCTGAGGGAAGTTACTTTCAAAAGGAAAAATGTTTTCGTGAAATATAACATCCCTGCTTACAAAAAACTTTCCCGTTGATGGGTCAAAGAGACGATAACCCTTTTGTAGATTTGGGTATCCCATGAATGTACATCGCCGAGCACGGGGACTCATCTTGTCCCGAGGGCCCATAAAAGTAGTGTAACATAAGCATCCAAAAATCCGTAAATGATCCAACTCTGGCTTTTTTTCAAATAGGAGCTCATATGGTGACCGTCCATTGAGTACTTTCGATGGCATTCGATTAATTAAGTAGGCCGCAGTGATGACGCAATCTCCCTAGAAAGCATCTGGGATAAAAGCTTGAAATTTCAACGCGCGTGCAACCTCTAAGAGATGGCGGTGTTTTCTTTCAACTATCCCATTTTGTTGTGGAGTGTAAGTACATGAGCTTTCATGTAGAATGCCATGGGATGAGAAAAGATAGTCGCACTCATGGTTGAAGAATTCCCTTCCATTATCTGTCCGGATACGTCGAATATGTTTCCCGAATTATGTCCTTGATAAGGAAATGAATGTCTTCAAGTGATGTAATACTTGAGCCTTAGATTGCATAAGGAAAACCCATGTAGCTCTGGAATAATAATCCACAATGGTGAGAAAGAATCGAGATCCATCATGGTGCGGCGTGTGATATGGCCCCCATACATCAATGTGAATTAATGAAAAAATATCAGCGGCGCGACTCTTGCTAAGGGGAAAGGGCGTGCGAGATTGTTTTGCAAGTGGGCAAATATGACACTGAGAATAAGGAAATAAAGCACTATGCCCCATCTGGAATGCATGAGGAAATTTTTATCATTGGCAGTCAAATTACACAATGATCTTTTATTGAAAGAAATGTGGGATAAATCGAAATTTCTGGGAAAGCTGGTCCAAAAATATAGTCCTTCAGAGTGACTACCCAAGCCCATCAGTCTGCCAGTCGAAAGGGCCTGAAAGAGACAAGTATCAGCATCGAAAATGACTCGACAGGAATTTTCGTCGCACGCTCTAGACACAGATATGAGGTTGAATTGGAAGTCTGGAACATAAAGGGCATTTCTGAGTGTGATCTGAGGACTAAGATTTATTGTTCCTGTTGTAGTGACCAGAGTAATATTCCCATTCGGCAATTTCACAGAGATGGGGATATTTAATTCTTTATGAATAATGGAAAATAATCCCTTATCGC